TTAAAAGTGCCAAATGACGTCACTTTGTTGGGGGAAGCAGTTAATTCATACACTGGTCTTTAACCATCCAGGGTTTACATTACATATCAATATACAATTATTGTTGTTTCCTGTAAGGGAACACCTGATTTACACCGACATCCAAGCCAGCAAACTTGGCCTAGCTGCTTGATGCGATGTGGCGTGAAGCGCATTAAATCCAGGTGCGCATTGAGGAACGCCACGAAGTCATCGTCCGCAATTTCCTCGGAACCCCATGGATTTCCATATCTGATTCATGAGGATCAACCAAAAAAATGTTATAACATGTTATAAAACATGTATGTATGTATGTATGTATATATATATATCCCTCTTCAAACATGTGGTAAAGTGAGCTGTGCTCAAAACCCCTGTTGGCTGATGAGTTCGGAGATTCTACTAACCAACATATTGGGGATTATCACAAACCATAAATGGAAAATCCCGATTTGGGGTCCTAATTACTGTAAAGTACAGGAAAGCGCGAAACTCATGCCTAAGTCACGCCTGTGTGCTGAAAATCTGCTTTCCCCCATCTAAATGCAATTTCCAGGAAGTCATGCCTATGTCATGCCCGTAACCCAAATCACCATCTAAATGCAGCGGAAACCTTTGCTTCATTTTGATTATATGACTGATACCAGTAGTACCGCACAAGGCGGTGGCGGAAGTTTCAAAAATAGTAGCCTGTAGGAAGTGTTGGGTTTTTGCGTTGCATGGGCGGCAGAGCAAGCCGCTGATGGATCGTTTTTGATAATAGTTTGTTGTGAAATGAATAGTGAATCTGAAAGTGAAGTGTGAGATAAGGGATATGATATATACTGGAAAAAAACGACGTCAGAACGACGTCCGAACGACGTCCAAGCGACGTCAACTCATTCCCTAGGAAAGGCCACTCCCCACATGATGGCTGAACAACATGAGACTCCTAGTACGTTACATTAATACAAAGGAAGAAATGGCTACTCAAAACACCAACTAAATGCAACGACCAAGTCTTAAGTAACTCAGATGTGAAGTCTTTGCCCAACATCAAAACACCAACTAAATGCAACGACCAAGTCTTAAGTAACTCAGATGTGAAGTCTTTGCCCAAAATCAAAACACCAACTAAATGCAACGACCAAGTCTTAAGTAAGTCAGATGTGAAGTCTTTGCCCAACATCAAAACACCAACTAAATGCAACGACCAAGTCTTAAGTAAGTCAGATGTGAAATCTTTGCCCAACATCAAAACACCAACTAAATGCAACGACCAAGTCTTAAGTAACTCAGATGTGAAGTCTTTGCCCAACATCAAAACACCAACTGAATGCAGGATTTATATAAAATCATAGATCCGATCATGAAAACCAGAAAATCATGCATTTCCTATGCGTTTCACAAAAAGGCACGACTTTTCAAAATCAAGTGCTCCGAAGCTATTTTCAACGATTCTCACTAATCTAGGCACGACTTTAGCAACTCTCTGTAGGGCCCCTAGATAGCTAAGTTGCTTCACAACTAAGGTTAATGGTGGCTTATGGTAGAGGTTATATATATATATAGTTATACATATGTAATTAATATAACTTGGTGTAACTAGAGTTCATGTGCTTTACAAATCAACTATGACCAACAAACAAAACTGGAAGACCTTCCCCATGCCGCGCCAGGCGACTCCCCACTTGGCTGCGATGGCGGATTCCACGTTGAAAGTGAAGGTCAGCACCCCCTCACGCCGCACCTAAAACAAAAGTCAATGGATTGGTCTTGTTGGGACAATTTACAGGAAAACCCCATATTTCATTGGAAAATCATGGAAAATCTGGCTAAGATTTTCCCAACAAAACCAATCCATTGAAAAAGAGATGGCTTTTCTCCATCTTTCCGGAGGATTTCGGGAGACTTGTTGGCAAAAAAAATGAAATTCACCGAGGGAACATAGTAGTCTCAAGAACATGCAAGATTTTCAGAAATAGGGATGCAGGGATATGCATTAAAAAAAGGAATGTGTTTAATAATTAAATAATCTAGTGGGGAAAATTATGATACATATCCTTCTGGGTGTGTCCTTTTTTCAGACAGAGCCAAAGAGATAATGTGCGAAGTAGCATTGCCAAATAGTGCTTTGACAAATTTGACAAAAAAGGCATGAAACACCTTCGAAAAGTGCAAGCAAACTGTGTTTTTTTCTCTTTTTTTATTATGTTTTTGGGTGGTGTTGTGGCTAGCATTACAAATTATATATTATACATGATACGTGTCTATGTATATTATATATGTGCCCACTGCCCACCCCCACATCTCGCAAAGTCTGCGTGAGTTAGAAAGGGCAACTATGCCGGTGGGTACTACTTCTTGTTGCATGCATGACACTAAGATGAACAAACTAGCTGCATGAAATTGAAATTGGACATACTGGTCATCCGTCTTGGCGTTGTGGCATGGAGATTTTGACCCAAAACACCCCCAAAACATCCAAACACTATCACCATCACCATATATCCCATGCAATCGTGAAGGTTACAGGATGTTACAGGTCACCAGCAGCGCCCCAGGATGACTTTCAAAAATGCCTTGTACTGGCCGATGCTATCTCCTTGGGAGCGCAGCCAAATGGGACGTGCAAGGGTTGCCCCCTTGGCCCCTTGGCATTTCCACTGCGGACTCTGATTGATTCTCCTGATTCTTGGTGGGTGGATGCATCAAACAATTGTATGCCAAAATCACTATGATGAAACAGTCGTCAACCTGGAAACTAGGCCCTTTCTGCTTCTGCATTGCATGGGCACCAAGGATCGAATGGGATGCTGGTAGGGTGGATTGCTATAGCTGATGTTCACGAAAGCCTGGGAATGCTTCAAGCTGAAGCGTTCCGCTGTCTCGTAGAGCATCCTCAAAATGTGGAACCCCGGCAGGCACATGGGCAACAGCAACCCTGAAGTGGAGGGATAACCGACACTCATGCAGAGATCACACCCGTGACATCAAAGCAACAAAGCAACGTGTGCAATGCTTGCAATATCTGCAGCAAAATCACTTGCAATGCGGCAAAAATGGCGGTGTATGGTTGGTTGGTTGGTTGGTTGCTTATTGGTTGCTTGGTTGGTTGGTTGGTGTATGGTGTATGGTGGTGTAAACCAGCAGTCTCCCGCAAATGGGTACGGATGAACACATATATCAAAACCAATGACAGGTCATAGCCAACCCGTTCATCATCATGTGCTAGGGTCAAAACATGCTTTGGGGTTTATGGGCATCCATCCCAAAATGGCAATCCTCATAATGGGATATAGTGGATATGTAAATCCCTATCAATGGACACATCTCTCTCCAGAAAGAACGTTGGGCGCCAACCTGTTGGGCGCCCTTGTTGAAGACAACCTCATCGCCAGATTTGCCCCCATGGCAACCTGCCGGGATCCAAGTCAGAGAGCGACTGGACAACCCAAAAATGATCCGGAGAAAATGGCCACGAGTGGATAGCATATATATATATATACATTTACACACACACATATATATATATTATTATATATATTCACACACACACATAGATCACATAGGCATGTATATACAGTAATTTGCTGAGTAATGCTCACATGGGGTGCGGTGGGGATGTTAGCGTTCCTTCAACCGCGTTCCTTCGACCTTGCACAAGATGTTGCCAGACACGGGGCAAATGGTGGGAGTTGATCGTAATTTTGCATCATCTTTCTTTCTTGGGCAGCTTTAAACTGGAAATCAAGGTCGTAATTATGTTTTTATGTTTTTCATTGTCGTTTACATTTGTTCATAACATTATCATTTGTTTGCACTGCCAACATGGATTTTCATGCAGATTTTCATTGGGATTTTTCATGTGGTTTCATGGCATGTATCTTATTCATTAGCAATGTTCGCTTTGCTCCTCAGCCAAGATGACAAACAACTACATGCCATGAAGCCACATGAAAATCCCAATGAAAATCCAAATGAAAATCTATTTTGGCAATGAAACAAAATTAATTTATGAAAAACATGTAAATGAAAATGCAAACATGAAACAATAATTTTGTTTGACTTGACTTCCCTCAGCTAGAGGCTGCAAGATTTTTCATAACAGTAATTGCTAGTATAAATGTAAATTATATACATGCATACTGATTTTTCATTATTTCTTAGATGTTTTAAATTATTTTCATTGATTGTTCAATGTGCTTACATGTTTTTTATCATGTTTCACTGATTTTTCAATGTTTTAAAAATGTTTTTCATTATTTTTCATTGTATTGTTGGCTAGAGTCTTGCAATTTACATGCATATTCTGCATATTTGTAGTACATGGAAGGCACGGGACGGTCGAAAATTCGAATTTTGGAGTTTTGGGGTCTTCAGGACTACATAAATAGGGTTGGAATGCCGTCCCGGATTTGTTTAGAGGTTTCAGGACTAAATAAATAGGGTTAGAATGCCTCCCAAATTTCTCACGCGGTACGCGGGTGTTTTTCTTGATGTCCACATCTTTCCACCAAAACGTCATTCTAACTTTCGGTCCGTCGGTATATATATATATATATGTATATATGCATTTTTTCTGTGTATATATATATATATGCGTGTAAATGAATATATATATATATATATATAGTTGTGTGTGTGAAGTTTGTGTGATTGTGATTTGCAACTGGCGCCCTTTCACAAAGTTTCCGTGCCCCCGTCACTTTCACTGGCGAGGCAACCTATTTGGCCAATATCAAGGTAGTTCAGAGGCCATCTCTGGGTACTGCTTGCTGAATGGAGTTTGGGAAGCAATCTCTCAATCTCTCCTCCCCTTAATCAAAGAGTATACGCTACATACATCCGTAGAAACCATCGTAGAGCCGCAACAACAAGTCCGTGGAACTATGTATCCTAATTATATGTTCGTGGAGGCATCGTCAAATCCCTTAGATAATGTGGTGTTGACCCAATAAGTCATAAACCACCCCAAAACCTAAACCACCATGTAGTTTCACCCTGTTTGCTGGTTAAGAAATCGTTCCACCGTTTTTCATCATAGTTGAATACCGTCATCTTGGCAAAAATGGTGTTGTCTGAACATATAGAATAGGATGCAGTAACTCAGTACCCCATTCCAGCCACTAATAATCGTGGTCTCTACAACAAATGAGCAGTGCTAGAGACTCCCTGTTCATGGGTTGTGATAATCCCCAAAATATTGGTCAGTACAATATCCCATAATCATTAACCAACCATCATTTGCAAAACAAATTCTCTATAGGTTTGATACTTAAAACCACACACGCACAAAATGTACAAAATTGATTGTTGAAACAAATCCCAAGAAAATCCTCAATATTTGTCAACCAACCGGGTTTTGAACGCTTCTCAAACGGAAGGTGACCCTAATGTTGACCTACGACTTATCAAACTACCCTGAATATAGCTAAATTACTTTACTTCGTGTGATCCCCATTTATACATTTTCTTACTGGCAAATCTTCTGGCATTCTATCTGACATATCTTCTGACATTCTATTTGACATTCTATCTGGCATATCTTCTGGCATATGTTCTGGCATTCTATCTGGCAAATCTTCTGGCATTCTATCTGGCATATCTTCTGGCATATTATCTGGCAAATCTTCTGGGATTCTATCTGGCATATTTTGTGGCATTCTATCTGACATTTTATCTGGCATTCTATTTGGCATACCTTCTGGCATTCTGGCATCTCTTCTGGCATTCTATCTGGTATATCTTCTGGCATTCCATCTGGCATATCTTCTGGCATATTATCTGGCATATCTGGCATATCTTCTGGCATTCTATCTATCTGGCATATCTTCTGACATTCTATCTGGCATTCTATCTGGCATATCTTCTGACATTCTATCTGACATCTTTTCTCACATTCTTCCCGTTGAGGTCCGGCAGTGCCCACTGCGATCTGGAAGTCGCGGTTGAAGTCCGGCAGTGCCCACTGCGATCTGGAAGTCGCTGTTGAGGTCCGGCAGTGCCCACTGCGACCTGGAAGTCGCGGTTGAGGTCCGGCAGTGCCCACTGCGATCTGCAACTCGCGGTTGAGGTCCGGCAGTGCCCACTGGGATCTGGACTGCGAGGAGGAGGCGGCGGGTGAGGAGGCGGAGGAGGCGGAGGTGGAGGCGGAGGAGGCGGAGGCGGAGGAGGAGGAGGAGGAGAACAGCTCTGATAAAATCTACCAACCCTCACCTGGCAGGTGGGGAAAAAACTCCCAAACTAAATAATAAAACTACCCTAAATGAAGCTAATTTTTTTTGGCCCTAAACCCAGATTTGCCCAGATGGGGCTGACCAAAACCTTTATTCAAAAATGATAGCTGGAAATTGTCAAAAATGATGGATGCTCTTTCTATTCAAAACCTTTACTTAAACTTATCCAAAATCAACTCCAAATCAACTCATCAAGGGTACCCCCCATGAGGTGCCTTAGCACCAATTAGAGTTTGACCCTGAATAAAGCTACTGAGCTTCCCCCTCCCGCTGATCAAGAAACGAATACTAAATCAATACTAAATCCATGACTTGAATACAAAATCAATACTAAATCCATGACATGAATACTAAATCAATACTAAATCCATGACATGAATACTAAATCAATACTAAATCCATGACATGAATACTAAATCAATACTAAATCCATGACATGAATACTAAATCAATACTAAATCCATGACATGAATACTAAATCAATACTAAATCCATAACATGAATACTAAATCAATACTAAATCCATGAAATGAATACTAAATCAATACTAAATCCATGACATGAGTACTAGATCAATACTAAAACAATTGCTGGATTCCTGTTTTTTTTTGAAATTGCATTTTATGTATTCGTTTTCAATTGTGGTAATTGAAAACCTTTACATACAAACAAGTTTGATGGTGGCTTTAAGTCTATTTAGGGTAAAAGAGGGGGGGGCCTATTTATAAATCAGAGGTGGACATTACCCCCCACCTTCTATGTCCAGGCGCGACAAGTGGGACTCCTCTCGACCTTGGGTCACTCTCCAGTCGAGCCCAGCTGCTCCAGGCAACATGGGGATATATTGCAATACCGATCTACAAATAGCATGTGTACGCATACATATACATACAACATATAATTTGCATATAATTCCAAGCTGTACACATATAAATCTATATTATGTACACGTATAAATCAATATTATATATGTATGTTTCCTTGCTGTCCATCGATTGATCTATCTTTCTATGTAAAATCTATCTATATATTTATCTATTTATCGATTTATGTATTTATCTTTTTATCTATTTATCGATTTATCTATCTATCTATCTGTCTGTCTATCTATCTATCTATCTATTTATCTATCTATCTATCTATCTATCTATCACTGTCACTATCTTTATCTCTATCACTATCTCTATCTCTCTCTCTCTCTCTATCTCTCTGTCTCTGTCTCTATCTCGCTGTCCCTATCTATCTATCTATCTATCTATATATC